GAGAGAAAACGTAATTAATATTACTACTTTACGATGAGGAGAATTTTCAGCTCCAATAAAATCAAGAACAAATATTTAAAAAAATCAAGTCTATGCACCTTGTAGATTCTATTTTTGTTTACTCGGAAATACTGTCGACCTTTCTCAAATTTTCCGCGTTGGTAAAACAACTCACGACAAAGGGCGCCCACAATATTTTGTTTACCTTTCCGGATCTTTGTTCTCTACAGCACATTATATGCTGTATTTTTTAGTTCTTTGAACTTCTCTCTTATGCCGTTGCATTGAGTGATGAGAGTAAATTATTACCAAACCTTGTTAATATTTCTTATTTTGAAAGTAATCAGAAATAATCAAATGTATTCCTTCAGGACTAGTTTTATTTGTTTTTATTACAGATATATGCCGCGTAAATATTATGGCACGTAAATATCTTTTTTAATATCACAAATTACAAATATTTCGTTACAGCTGTAAACGATTACTTCACAAGTCTGAATACCGGTTGCTGTAAAAATTCGCGAAAAATCGATGATTCCAAATCACTCGTATTTTATACAACCTCTAACCGTCCCGCATAAGCACCCCACTAGCATTCTTTTAGTCTACCCCGAAGTACTTGAGGAAGGAGAGCCTTTTAACATTGCTCAGAAATCCGCTATTGATAAACTTAGGAATTAACACGAAAACACTTCAACCGAAGGTATTTTTGCAACGCTGAACGTAAGCAACGTAGGTAGGTTACGTTCAGCATTACGAAGTCGAATTTAAAAATGTTGGCTGATTTAGTACAACGTTCTTGTTTTTGCTACGAAATAACACTGCTTTTGTTTGTATTTATATTTAAGTTATTTGGCATGTCCACTCGTCTAACCTTTGTAACGTTAAGTTTGCTTCATCGACTATTTCATTAGATAGTTTTCCAGTCATAAATATGCTTGTGTAGTCGACGTAAATAATCCATTCAACTGAAGCAATGTCATTTATGTACATATCGAAAAAAGGTGCCCAAAAATGGTGCCCTAAGATACGTCCTAAGAAACAGGAAGTGAATCGTATAAGTTATCATCGATACGGACTAGGTGAATACCATGGTGTAGGTGTAACGTGGTCAAGGAGGCAGCCCTCCCCCGGAAACCACGGCGTTGAAGTGTTTGAGCCAGATGTACATGATTAACATAATCGAATACTTTAGTTAAATCCACGAAGGTATAAACCGGAGATAATAACAATTATAGTAATAATAAGAAGAAGACGAAGAAGAAGAACAAATGTCATTATTTATATAACAGCACGCAGTTGGAAGGTGAAAAGGAAAAAAAGCTGTAACACAGCTTGACTAATGCGTTGACAATAGCCACGCGACACGACCTTTGCGATGACAATAGTCACGACGGCGGGAGAGGAAGCAATGTATAAATGACGTGGAGGGAGGACGAAGGAGAGCCCTAAGGAGACGGCATCCTAATCCTGTTACGTCACGGCTTCTTTATCGAGTGAGTTGCAACAAGAACATTTTGAAAAGCGTGTTATATGCTTTATTCTTGAAATGAAAGCTAAAATTTCATGAACTCTTTACGAGTATGCCTTTGTACCTGCCCCAAGGTATTTTTATGAAACTATCGATCCCCATTTTATGCCGGGAGCATAATAATAATACTTATAATTGTGATGTGTGTATGTTTATACAGACGGAAGTTAGTCAGCCTCAATAGGCGTCTGGTGTCTCATCTGCAGCTGAGAAATTTTGCCACTGCAGTACAACCGCTAGCCTGGTGTATTTAACGTGCTTCATGCAATTGTGATACACGACCGCACACTGGTAGGATGCTCATCCAGATACCCTTTAACAAATGCCAATAAACAGCTGGAGCGACCTTCCAAGAAATGCCAATAAACTTAGCTATGACGAACGAAAACAATAACTTGGTGAACAATAGCATCATAATGCGTTTACACCCTGGCAGCTGAGTTAAAGGGGCGATGCAACGATTTTTGTTCTTTGCGCAAGTACCGCTTAGAACGGATCACGGACGTTGATGACCTGTGAAACACCCGTTCGTTTTTAACCACACGCAATCGAAGCCGCAGAAAAAGTTAAAGAAAAACGAGCAGCGTTCAGGCCCTCAACTCGCAGCCAGAACAAACGGCCACGTGGTCTGGACCCGATTATATGCCGCCAATGTCAATCACAGCCGCGGGCTGGCGTAGACAAAGCATAGGACACGTGCTGAGTTCCGGACATTGTTATGGTTCGCCTATTGTCGTCAATGCAGCCATTGGGCACTGGCCAATACCCGAATGCTTCTCGATCTATCGATTATCACGAGCCTAAGCTGAATGCCCACGCAATGCTTTAACCCAATCTATGAGCCGCGCTGTGACCGCCCAACTACGTCAACGTCCACAACAATAGCGGGGAACAGGGTGCCGATACTCTAAGCGTACTTCATTTAGTGGCTCTTGACTAGAACGACCCTCTCAAAGCTTCGAAGATTTGAAGGGGCCAGTAGATACCGATTAGCCAATTACCTTGGGAGATTTCGTCTAACAGGCAGAGAAGACAATTTCCCTACTTTTCAAGGATCCAGTGACTTTAAAGCAGACAGCCACCAGTCATAAATTGATTTCCGGTAATATATTTCTATAAGAAAAAGTGAGTGCTTTCTTTCCTGAGCTTGATTATAAGAGCCAATATCACGAACGATTCGCACGTACTAGGTAGCTTGATGCACTTCTCAGTAACGCAGATAAAATAATTAGTTACTTTCGGAATTTTTTAGGACAACAAGCACAGTGCTAAAACAACTTAATACACGCATTTATGAGCACTGTAGGATCCTCTTAGAGCGAACACGGCGTCGGCGATTTTCAGCATAAGTGATATAAGTACCAAGCGTACGAAGGACACCTGGAAAACCAAGAAAAACTGCAAGAACTATGCAGCAACATTGATTCAGTAACTTTGTGTGCATGTCGGCCATCAAAATAAATTGAATGCCGCGTAATATAGTTCGATTTGCATTCAATAAGTGGTGTTTTATTTTTTCTGCATATAAATATGTGCGAAGATGTTTGTTTTGGTTCAAAATAACACTCGCGCGCTCGTAGTCTCTAAAGATAGGGAGGCGCAATAGAAAAAGTACCAGATAAAAGCTGCCCGGCATCAGAAATAATAAAAAGAAACACCTTCCATAGCCCGCGTACTTAATTTTTCTAAGTTTCGAATGTTTTTTAACCACTCGTAAAGATTCACGACGTGGTTAATTTCATATAGTGGCAGGACGGGCATATTGGGAATATATAAGCGCCACCGGAATGCTGACGAACCGTGAACACGCTCTAGATTCCTTTCGATTGTTGTATTGCGTACAATCGTCAGTCGTTTTACACGCCTGCCATGAAATAGAGATTTGGGCTTTGAAAATAGGGAAGTTTGACATTGCTCATTCGTGAAGAAAAATGCTGTATTTAAATCAATTACACTTTTCCAGTAATAAAAAATGTGCATACCATTCGGTACGATCGAAATAACAAAAGTGAGTAATGGGGATTCTTGCGCGAGTTGGTACTGAAACTTTGAGGACATAATAGCGCTTCACGACAGGGACGAGAGTAGGAACGAGACAACACAATGCGCGAACTTAAACTGGTTTAATCGTTAGAAAATCAAGTCTATAAATGCTCTGCATTATCGCGCCATTCAACCAATCCCTTGTGATCCATGTTGTCATCCATGGGAATCATGTTGTTTTCCGGCAAAGAGATAAAATGTTCGCACAATTTTACCATAGGAATGCAAAGGAGCACCTAACAAAATAGACGAGTTGATGTCTGCTTCATTTTGCATGTCGGAAGTCGCATATACACTAGCGCCAGTTCAACCTCTTGCGTACATTTCACAAGCTCTATGATGTGATCACTCATGACACCGATCTGGGGTATCCCTGCAACATTCACAACACTATGAATTTTAGCGTTCAATTTCACCAAGCGAAAGTGCTGCCAACACGCGGCGAAGAAAGGGCGAACCTCGCCAGGCGTGGTGCTTTCTGCTTGCTTGCGATACGTATATTAATGCGAACTCAGGAACTGTCCCATGGAGTGAAGCCGGCGTTGTCTGTAGCCGTTGTCTGTAGCAGCGAAAACGGCACCTACATTCCCGTTGGCGGAGCGAAATTGCATCTACATTCTCATTCCCAATAAAACATTACGAAAAGCGCAGCAACGCAGATGCTTCGTCACGGAACCCGGCGGGCGTTCAAGGTGTGAGCGGACGTGCCTCAGAGATAAAACACAAAGAAAGCCAGCGGGGTTCGCCGCGCCTGCCCATTGGGGGAGCGGGATGTCACCGCAGGTGCGCCGTGTGCGAAAGGAAGAAGTGGCGCGCTGCTTGTACGAATGCATTGCCTGTAGGAATGCCCCCCTTTCGCATTCCTACTTGTAAACAATCTTAAATATCCCTGCCATTTTTCTTCTTTTTTTTTGCGTTGCGCGCAACGCGGAAGTTTTGGTGGACCAAGTTGGCTTTACGGAGCGGTGACCTGTCTGTAGGTATACAGACAGGTCACCGCTCCGTAAAGTTAGTCAACTTCCTTGCCTACATTTTTAGTTTCAGACTTCATTTCAAGGCAGCCGTTACGAACATAAAAAATAAATAATTGTACTTTAAATCAAAACGCTGAACTAAATGACTTGCAAGGTCAAGGTTTTTAGGCACTTATTCATTCGTCTTCTTTTAATAAAATAAACAAAGCAAAAAGTGGCCGAAGGCGGATGATTTTGCCCTTTCTTGAAAGGCGCCGGGTGAAACAGACTTGCTCATTTTTATTTCGTTTGTTTTCTTATTTTAGAATGAATCTTCCGAGTAACCCTGACGTTTCATTACGTCGGAGCTTGCGCATAGGTCGCGTAGCAACTGGAGGAGTTCATATAAACAGAAACATCTTTCAAAGCGTAGCCTGTGGAAGAAAGCATATGTGTTCATCCGTGAAAACACGATGAAAGCAAAATTATCTGTCCTCGCTACGTTCGTTTTGGTACTTCACGAATCGTAAGTCATATTCGACTTCGTTGTATCGAATGCATTGTGCAGCCTGATGCCATTATTACGTAAAATTGACCGTTTATAACTAATATTAGTGGTCGTCCTCATTTATAATATAAATTCATGCAATGACACAAACTAATAATGTAAAAAAGATTAAAAGCTTTTTTTCGGGGGGGGGGGGGGGGGGGGGGAATGGGGGGTTGTTGCTTTAGACACCCGCATAATGCAATATGATACCGCCAGTTATCAGTTTGCACTCATAGTTATACGCACACAAGCATAAATTCCGCTTTGAGAGGGATAAAAATAATTTTTCGCTGTTTTTGATTGTATTGAAGTTCTAGAAGTATATCATTGTATCCTGAATTAGAAGTTAATAAATAATTAGAATAACCCACTTCCATAACCTACTGGGGAAGTTTACTGACCGTGGCTTCGATATGATCCGGACTAAAACATTTATATATTGTTTGTTGTTGTTGCTTTTTTTTTTCAAAGATTATCATCACTATACAAAGTCAGTATAAGATACCAGCTTTTTTTCTAAATCTAAACAGTCTTCTTTTTTATGCAACCAAAGAAATTACAAGGTTTGTAGGAAGTAAATTGAGGTTGAAATTCTCGCTGCCTTGATATAAATCGGAATATAAATCTCTAATGTGTTTTCATCTCTTGGATTTGTTTATTAGTGTTTATTTGTAAATGCTTGTGACCTTCAACTTTCATATATTGACTGATCATAGCGTGGCTTCCAGAAGTAAATAGCAAAGCGCTCACGAAATATCTTGCAGCTATACCTCTGAGTAATATAAATTAAAAATATAGAAAACTAAGAAACATCTAGTCACATTAATTGGCTTTTTTTTAGCCCTTCAATGTACAACGTGCCTATAAACTTACAATAGACCGTGATGCAACGTGTTATTTTTTTTATTGTTATAGAATTTCCGTATTTTTTTACGTAATGCATTGTCGTTAGCTTCAATGGCTAAAAATGTATCGAAGCCCCTTTCAAACTGATAGGCCACTTTGCTAGTGCCAGGTGTAACCTGATTAAAAGCTTACTACAAACCTAACTTAAGCTGGCAAATCTTAATTATTAAATCTTACCTTATGACATCATCAGCGCTGTTGTTTTTTTTTATAAATTCTTAAATAGAACGAACACGCATTTGTTAAATTTCGTTAAAGGCCGACGACCAGACTCGAGATTCTGCGAGGCAGAAGACCCTCCTCTCCACGCCTTCGGGCGAGGGAAGAGAAGGATGGAAAGAAGGGACCAAGAGGGGCGGGCGTGGGTGGAAGGGGTAGGAGGGAGAGGAGGAAGCGGGCGAACATGGGAAAGCGCGAACTGGTCGTCGGTTTTTAAAGTTGTGCAGGTTTTCTGTGTCTTCTTTTTTTCCTTTCTTTTTTTCTTTTTTTTTTTTTTTTTTTGTAAACAAAAAATGAAGGAGTTTATAATCGTGCGTTTTCTAAACTGTACAGGTATGGTATCCTCGGGAGCTTAGTGCCACAAAAATCAGGAGCTGCTTTACACAAGTGTGGAAGAATTACTGGATTCATAGTGTCTACAGTACCTACAAATTCGAGAACAATAACTGTTACGCGTTCAAGCTGGACCTATAAAAACGTAACAGCAAAATTTGAGTACATCGGCAACTATACTGGTCACGAAAAGTGTCTTTCCAATGTAAGTACAGCCCACCAAACAAGGTGTTTTTTTTTTGTTTTTTTTTTTTAATATGAACGAAAATATTGTTCTAAAAAATAGGAAGACATGCGATTTAAAAAAGCAAAATAATTTCAATCGACATATTTTGCTTTTTTCTGGGGCAGACCGTATTCGCTTGGGGAAATGATTTTGCAATAAGCTTTTGATCGTATGTGATTAACAGACAATATGTTTCTTCCGCCATGGTGCCAAACGCGTGGTATTGACGATAATCGCTATTTGGACACTATCCAGCTCCTATGAGGACAGACGCTGTTTTCCAGAAAAAGCTTTTTAATCGACGCCGGTTTATTGAACTTCTTAGTGGTTGAAAAGTAGTATTCTAGCCCTGTACATACGTACCCGCCTCCAAAACAGGGCTGGCAATTAGTTTCTCAAGATGACATGAATGTGAGCTTGCGGTATGCACTACAAAACAAAATAAACTTTTAAACTTAGCACGGCATCGAAATGTTTGGTATATACTTATTTCTGCATTTTGATCCACGCCAAATAATATGTTCGGAGTGGAAGAGTTAAAACAAATATTCAATAAGGCAAGCGTGAAATTCCATACTAAAGTGGTGAAGTTTGCTCAATTTATTTTACGTAAACTCATTTATTTCTGTTTTTACTTCACTTTTAGTGTGATCCATGCCACCCAAGACCTTGCACTTGTAGACCAGAATGCGAGTGCCTGCCAATGAAGGGTTATCCAGCTGTCGGACGATGTGTAAAAAAGGGAACTCCTTTACCTGACGGAGTCGAGAGGGGAGAGCGCCGATGTAAGAAGAAGCAGGGCAAGAAAGAAAATGGAGGACGAAGAAAAATTAAAGATATTGAGTAGAAGAAAAATAGTAGAAGAGAACGAGAAGGAGGCAAAACGAACTGAATATTGGGCGACGTAGATTAAAGTCTGGGTCAGCGTCGCTTCTTTACACTTTTTTATATAAAGGAAATCTCAAGTACAGTCGACTCAGCCGACGCTCAAAGAAGTAAAATAAAACAGCTCCTTATATTATCCCTCGTGTGGTAAAACGCAAACTCAAAGGGCTGCTTCACATTTTGTTGCTTCTAGTTTTCTTGTCCTCGGTTGCGAAACTCTGTTCATTTACCGGCAGTAATGTACATTTAAGTGGTCTTTTTCTTATCAATATCTGGGAAGAAGTTAATTTTGCTATAAAAAGCTCTAGCTGTAGCTAACATTCTCGGATCACATATGGTTGTAATTTATTTCAACGACATGGCAATGTAAACTTTCTTTATTAAGCGATAGACGGCGTGAATTTACGTAATTACATAATGAACGTGTAAAACATGTTAGCAGATGAACTGTACAAGTCATTTGCACCTCCACAACATATACACTAGACCAAGGTTGGCCAAACGGAGATATGTAAGTATCTATGTATAAAAAAGAAGTTAGAGAAGCGTTTGAACTGGGGGATTACCGCAGTAAGAAGGGACCAGACCTTTTCTTCGATATCTTTAATCTAAGCTGGTGTTGGCGAATA